GTGCTGGCTCTATCGGTGAACTGCTTTAAAGCAGAACCAGATTGATGTGGGGTTATAAAGGCCGTTGAGGCCAAATCCTTTCCCACTAAAAGTAGTGTCAAGTATATACTCAACAGTGTACACATTTATATGCGGTATAACTTAATACATTCTATTTTGTTTGTAGTTTATATATGATATGTTACAGTACTTTATACTGTTTTATTGTTGACTTGGTGTATGACGTAGTTGTTTACTTTTCTTTTCTGTTCCTCTTCATTCCCCTCGAGGCTGCCTAGGTGAGTACCAATCACTAGTACTGGTGGTGAAGGTTGTCCATCTTCCAATTTTGAATCCCTACTGTTTGTATATACTGAACGAATCCAGTACAGAATGAACTCAAGGTTTGTCATTCGATGTTCGTATATATCACCCTGAAATAAAACAAAAATATATACAGTAAAAAAAATTTAAGAAACCATCGTATGTATTAATGATAACATCTGTATAAGATCACTTAATCCTGATTTTAAAGTTGATAAAATTCATGCAAAACCTGCTAATGAATAAAATGTTGATAAGAAATAATGCTTACAGTGGTTGGATCCCTAACTTTAGCAGGGGCATCAAGATCATCTTCTAGGTTAAATACCACACAAACAATGGCAAAAGATACCATAAAAATCTACAAGAAAATGATTCACAATCAATAATTTTTAATACTGAAAACTAAAAAAAATACCTAGAATAATTTTTTTTCAATTCAATTTATTATTCAATATAATGACTTTACTCGTTGGATCACATGATATATTGGCTGGCCTCCGAAGTCCCAGATGCTCATAATGAAATCGTTGCCAGATTTTTGCAATTCTTGCATCGCATCTCCTTTTGTGAACTTGAGTTCTTTTATACGCTCCTGGACTTTAGTAGCGATGTTTTCAGGGACCTCTTCTATCGATTGTGCCTGTGTCTGCTCTTTGGTATCTGATTCCATTTTCAGGTTTCTGGCATCAACATTTGATGATGATTGTCCTTATAGAAGATTCAGAATAAAAACTTAAAAATGCATAATTAAAAAACCAAGAAATAGTAGGATAATGGAGGTTTTCCACTGACCCTACAAGGTTAGGTAGTGCTTGGTATAGTGAAGTGTCATTGAGTTAGTGAGATTTTTTTTTTTTATCTCTTGTTCCAAGTTCTATTAGCTGTTCCATGTGGTATTCTTTTGGCAATGTACCTTTAATACTTGTTCCATGAGCAACCATACGTATTACGTATGTTGTTAATAGAGGTGCGTCGGCACCAAGGCTATGACATGTGATGGCCCTCTGTGTGAAATACTGATTAAAAATAATGTATTCATTAAATCAATTTCTTATGAAATGCAAACACGAACGTCTTACCCTGATTAAATTTCGTCTCTGCTTTAGCTGGGGATAACACGCTCTTGAAATAATTGTAAAACAAAAAGAAATAAGAAATTAACCATTATATACTTTAGCTGGATTATATCCATTATTTGTTATTATTAGTAGCATTAAATATTTCAATATTAACCAACTTAAATGCTAGTGAATATCACCAAAATGATATTGTATAAATCTTACTTGTCTTGTTACTTCTACATTCTTCTCAGTTTCTCTTTCTAATATTTTTTTCGCTATGGAATCTGCCATTTTTGCTTCATACATGCCATTGGCGCCAGCTGTTCAGAGATAGAGTATAATTAATTTATTCGAATAAGATTTTAATATATGATTAAGTTCATTTTGTTAGTTCAATAATTGATTTTAGACTGATCTCTTAGAGGAGATACATGAACATTTCTTTCTGTTTTTTTCTGTTGGTTGAATCATACTTTTCACATTTGTTGTCCACATACACTTCAGCTGGAGTTTGACCATCCTGCAAAGACAATCACATATCATACCTCATGAATTAAATAAATAATCAAGCAAAACAATCACATTTTAAAGCACTTCAACAAATGTTACCCCAAAACAATTCAAAACAATTGAATTGAAATTTACATATCAATTTAATTATTCTTTAATTCTACAATTGCATCTTGTAAATATTCATGTTAACAATAAAACATTGACAAAAATCAATAGTTGCTACAACGATCATGAATAAACATTTCGCTTACTGTAGTGTATAGGCCTAAATCCTAATATTATTAGTTGCCATACAATATCGACATTATAGTTGCCATCATTAATTTCAGTATGCTCCTTATCACCATTATTTAATTATAAACATCTTCATCATCACCATAATCATCATCATCTTCATTGTCATCATTTTTATCTACCTTACCTGGTTTTTTAATTTGGCATTCGCTCCAGCCTTTATCAAGTAATTAGTTGCGTCTATGTGATCTCCATACGAATGATTAAATTGTAACAACTTGTGAAGTGGAGTATTGCCGTCCTGTAACACAATTGGAAACAGTGTTAACCAACGACAGCTCATAACCGTACAAAGGATAGCATAATGTGAATAAACAACATATTCATTGTTACCAATCCAGACACAGTCAAAACCTCTGTAAACAAATGAAATAATGTAATCAATAACATTACAGTTAAAATTTAGGTAAATAACTAACTTTCACTTTGTATGAAATACATTTTCATCGAAAATTTTCTTCCATAACAATATTTTAAAACTACTATTTTGATGCAATCAATAACATTACAGTTAAAATTTAGGTAAATATAACCCAACTTTCACTTTGTATAAAATACATTTTTATGACAATTTTCTTCCATAACAATATTTTAAAACTACTATTATTTTATACTAAATAATGTCCTTTATGATGATTATATTCTCTACTAGCCTATATACCTGTGCTCCACACGGTTTTGAATGAAGAGGAGGCAATGTGAACGTTATGGTTATCATGTTAATATTTTTCTAAAGGACGTCTTTGTAGATGATGTCTCTGTAGATGAGTGTCTTTTCTGGATAGTCCTTGTGAGGAATTATTTTCAAGTTTTATGATGGGCAGATCCAGAATTTTACTAACAGGAAGGGGCGAGGTGGTGGCACAACAGTTTTAGAATGGATATAAGTAAGTAGCATAAATATGCCAAAAATTGGTCAAAAATTTAGCCGCAAAAATGAGGGCGTGTGTGCCAAACTTAATGAACCCATCCTTCTTGACCTGCCTCCCCTACCCCTTACTGGATCCGCCTTTGTTGATCAGACATAGTTTCAAAAATTTAGTGGCAAAACGGGGAGGCACATGTCCAATCCTCACCTCCCTCCCACAATAGATCCGCCCATGCTGATCTTTCAACCCGCAACTGCTCACCACCGGCCCCCACCCCCCATAGTTAGGTGGAGCTGGCTTGACCCTAAATTGAAACTTCAATGTCGCTATGACTATGTCTTGCACTAGGCCTATGTCATTGTAGAAGAATTTAGCCATATATTGACGCGATCGAAATCAACCTGGATTCGATACAGAGGAGCCTCTAGTACTGTCTAGGTATGTCAGCTAGGCTAGGCCTGTTCTCTGTACGGTGTAGGCCTAGTCTAGTAAGCCTAGCCTAAACTACTCGGCTTCAAGGCTTGGCCTAGCTTACTTAGCCTAGGCTTGGCCTAGCTTTTTTAATATCATGAATAATTGTGCCCAGGGGTACATTTATGTTTACCTGATTTCTAAAACATGCCATTTATTGCTGATGTGTTTGAGGCATATTTATGCCATTTAAAACTACAGTTTCAGTATACAATACGCCTTTTCCACGGATTATGACCGGTTGAGCCGCCGACAAGTTGAGCCGCCGGTCATTTCTATGGAACACCAAGCGCGTCTCTCAGTGAATGTAGTGCGTTAATTGCGGTGTATTTCAATTAACTTATTCGTTCTTGGTACTGTTGTTTGGGATGTATTTCAGTTTATTTACTCAATTATTTCAGTTTATTTAATACTCGATTTTTGCACTGATTTATTAAATATTTTTGGGACGTATTTCAATTTATTTACTTATTCTTTCTATCGTTTTAATTTAAATTTTGTGAGTATTTGCTCAGTCGGCTTGCCAGATAGTAAAAAAAAAAAACTCCATACATTCTTATCATTTATTATATATAAGTTTAACAAATAGTACAAAAATAAAAATATATAAATTACAAAACCATAGTAAATACTGTATATTAACATAGGCCTAACACATTTTTAATACGATTTTGCAATTATACAACTTCATTTATTTTTATAAAAATGTAGTACATAAAATTACATTTTTATTACGATTTTGCAAGACTGTGGGATGAATATGTAGCTGGTATCCGGGGGGGTTCATTCACTGATGACATCGGCAAGCCGACTACATTCACTGAGAGACGCCCTTGGCGTTCCATAGAAATTACCGGCGGCTCAACTTGTCGGCGGCTCAACCAGCCATATCCCTTTTCCACGAATCGGTAGGCATCTTGATGAAGTGATGACAAACAACCTATGATGATGGCCTAATTCTTTGACCCAACTCGGTTTATCCGTAACCAACAGAAATAAGATAAGCTTCGATTTGAGGCTGAATTCTTGTCCTTATGTTATCTAAAAATTCGTATAACTCCATAACGGAGGGTCATATCACATTAATTATTTCTGGAAAAGAAGATGTTCTCAAAAGACTATTCTACAATGGAAAAAGCAAAGCCTATGTAAAGTAGTGTACTATTAAAATAGACCTATGCATTTACAGTCTGAGTAACTAATTCCTCCATGGTAGAGTAGGCCCTACTCTCGCTAGCATTGTTTTATTTACCATATGAGAGTTTCCTGTGTTAAAAACATAGTTTAGGCTACTATACTATACTTCTTTATAAAAAAAAACATAACGTTTAAATCAAAAACGGCTCAAAAAATTCCAGGTAAAGCTGATTTTGAGTACTGTAAAAAACAAGCTTTTTTTTTTCATTCATTCGCTTGGCTATAGTGATCACAACATGGACGCCCTATGTTTTGTACACGTTATAAACAGCATCTGCTAAAAAATATTTTTAGTTTGGTATTGTGTAGTTTCTATGAAATATTTAATTGAATAACTACACTCAGTGCTCAATACAGATCAAAACAAGATCGAACACGACTTTGAATGTTGTAAGTAAAGCTGATTTTTCAGCAATTTTAAACCAGTTTTTGGTGATCGATTCAGAATCATTTGTTGATTGCTTGGCTATCACACAACGGTTGAAACCATAGCAATTGAACCGTGATAAAAGTGATAAATACAGTATTTTACAGTCATGATTATATTTAGAGATAAATATTTAATTATAATTTTATGAATAATGTATTTATTTAATAATGACGATTTGTCATTCAGTGTTTTTAATGAATAATGTGTTGTTTCCTATACGTACCGTGTCCTGCAAATTCACATTGCGTGCAGAAATCCTGACTGCTGCTCTCAGTTGCTGAGTGTAGCCGAGTGCCGCAATGTGATGTAGAATACACTCACGACGACCGAACTACACAATGAACAAGGAATATGAAAACAGAGAATATACAACACATCATCTCTTTAAAAAAATATTTTTTAGGCCATTATACTTTTTATGGATTTTTCCTATAAAATTGTACAATTCATATTCAGTATACATTGATTACTCGAACAAATCCAAACACAAATGTGAATTTTCTATGTAAAGCTCGTTTTCAGTAATATTTAACAGGCTTTTTTGCATTCATTTGGCTTGGCTATATCATTATCACACAACATGGACGCCCTATGTTTTGTACAAGTTAATCACCATCTCCTAAAAAATATTTTTAGCTTATGTAGTTTTTTTTATATTTCTTATTGAAATTTTAATTACAATATTCAGTGCTCAATACAGATCAAAACAAGATCAAACATGACTATGATTGTTTTATGTAAAACTGATTTTTCAGTAATTTTCAACACCTTTATTTTGGTTGTGAGCTGCTTCTCTTCCTCATTCAAGGCGCAATGACTTGATATTTGCACGACAACCGTGCGGGAAATTTCAACAATAAACAATCAACATTGATCGTAAAATACAATAAAATATCATATTTATAGTGTGGATGATGATTAAGATATGTTTTAAATGTAATAAGTTGTTGTTGTTAGGTAAGAATTGATGTAGAGTGGTGTATGGTATGTTGTGTATAGATGCTGTGTTGTTGTATTTTGTGTGTTGATGTCGTAATTGTAATGATACATAATTCTACTCACCCAGTGCACCCAGTCGACAGTTTCTACCGTCGCTGATTTTAAACTCTCACTGATGACATCACGTGGTGCGATGTGCAACACAATCTGATATAATAACGGGTAGTCGCCGTACTACGAAAACAACAAAATACGACGATAACAAAACACATTCAACTATCACACATACACAAAATATCACATATAAACACAACTTAATCACATCATAATTACATTAAATAATCACAATCAATTAAATATTCAAATATTATTACAAATTAACTTTTTAAAGCTAATCGTTTAAAAATCGTAAATTTTATCAATTTTTTTTATGAACGCTTTTCCCTATTCTTTTGCATTGAAAAATTTTATGTTAATTTAGGGTTTTGTTCAGATCATAATTTTTTAGGAATTTTGTATTTTTAACACTCTAGATATATTTCTTTTGTATAAAGGTTTGAAAAGAATACAGACAATGATATGTTTTATCCACTAGTTAACATTTTTCTTCATCATTAGGCCTATACTGACTTCAGAGAAAATTGCCTATACTTTATCATTAGATACACAACTCCTGTTTACCCATTTGTTCGGAATCATATTTTTTTTGGAAAAGCTACATTTTTAAGATCATATTTGACTTTCTCTTGAGTAGAGTTTTAAAACTAATCCAAACACATATATGTTTTAATGACTAATTAACAATTTTACCTAGCTTTAAACCTATACTACTTTAAAAAAAAAATTGCCTTTTCTTTAACATGGGATATGACTATCTCTGTTCGGAATCATAATTTTTTCGAAATATTATATTTTAAACCTCGTAACTACGTTTCTCTTGATTAGAGTTTTATAACAAATACAAAGACTTATATATTATATTGACTAATTAAACGTTTTGCAAAGCATTAGAAGCTTCAGACAAAATCTGCCTATTCTTTATCATTAGATAGGCCTATACTCTATAGCCTACCTCTGTTCGGAATCATAATTTTTTCGAAATATTATATTCTAAACATCGTAACTGCCCTTCTCTTGATTAGAGTTTTATAACAAATACAAAGACTTATATCATATTGACTAATTAGAAAAATTACAAAAACATCTTTATATAACCTTCAGAAAAATATGTCTATTTTATCATTTGGATACAGGCCTACACACATTAACATATAATTTTGGCTGGAATAATAATTTTGTTTTGCATTTGATATTTTGTTTTTTTGAATTAAAAACTCAATTTTTTAACTTCAAGACGAATAGAATAGAATATTTCGTTATCAATTACATGGTACCGACGACAGTGTAACATAACGGAGTTACTATACAGTATGTACGGTACGGTAAGTACTGTAACAGTTGTCAGTGCTTTAAAAAAATCGAAAATAACGAGGGCGCTAGACTAGTATTTTTGGTTATCAGAGAGATGATCGTCGCTCGTCTGAATTTACTGTGCAACCAAAATAATAGCTAGTAATTTATGTTATTTCTGTATGTTTGTTTACGTATGCATGCACATGCATTTTGTATAAGTGCTACTGTATCAAAGTGGATCCAATAAATTGATTGATTGGTTGATTGATTGACCGTGTTTTGCCCAAATTAAGAGGGGCATTAAGCCATACAATAATTTATAGCCAGACCAATTGACTTTACATTTAACTAAAATTAAAATTTAAAAAAAAAAAAATTAAAATTAAAATTAAAATTAAAATTGTTAAATGCATGATAACTGAAAGTAAATATTTCGTGGTTAACAATTACATAGTTAGTAGAAACGTATCTTACTTTAATTATTTATATTAGGAAAAATTTCAATACATTATCAATGAATTCGTTTGATGCGCAGGTATAAATTCATGAAGACGTCTCCAGTTATTTTGTATAAGATCAATCCCACAATTCAATTTAATTTATTTTAAAAAAAAACCTCCGTAACGAAGAAGTAAAATAGTAAAACATAACAATTTCATTAACATGGTCAATTTCATTACAAAAACCAGAAAAATTGAGAAAAATGTTTTAAATACAAAATTCAATTAAATCAATAAAAGGAGAGAACAAAATACCACTTTAACAGGTAGAGGCAAAACAGACTAAGAAAATACTCAAACACACCAAAGAACCATCAAACAAAGATGAACAATTTTACTTGCACTTCGATTTCAGTATATTAAAATATTAGGCCTATAAAAAATACGTAGGCCTAGTGGTGAAAAAAGGTTGGAAAGGTGACAAAAGTTCCTTTATATAAGTTTAAGACTATATAATTTGATAAAAATGGGTCATTAAATAAAATTCCCTGAACACTGTCAGCGATACCACTTTGGTAGCCACCACCATTTTTGCAATTTTTCTTACTAAGTGAAAGTATCTCTTATCAAATATCAGATTACTGAAGGAAAAAGACTCATTTTTTCCTATCAATGAGCGTATTTTTGTATGCCAAGTTATTACAGGCTTCACAACTTCTAAAGTGAACGTAGAATCGCCTAGCGATAGACGAGTTACTGTATTTAAATTGTGAAAAAGTAGGTAAAACTCCACAGCATCAGATATTCAATCTTTTGGGACAACAAGTACAATTAGTAAGTCTGACGACCTGCAATATTTTGGAAGAATAATTTTTAAATTATTACAGCAGTACGGTTTTTTTAAAATCTTAAAAAATAATTTTTAATTCTTTTTAGACGTAGTTCTGACGATCTGCAGTATTTTGGAAAAATAATTTTTAAAAATCGAAATTATTTTAAACTATTACAGAAGTACGGTTTTTAAAAATCTAAAAAATAATTTTTATTTCGTAGAATATAAAATTTGAGACTTGCTTTCACCTCACCAAGGTGGCTTTATAGATATGCCTATTCATTTTTTGATTGTGTAAGTAGGCCTAATGCAATGTTTGTGTACATAATTCAGGTGCTCGAATTTTAAACATAAATTCAAATTGTAGGTCTACGTGGCTTTATTAAAAATAGTTTGGTCTATATACCTAGTATTGTCAGGAAACACTCCCTGAAATAATTTTAAAACACCTTAAAAATTCTCAATCATCGTTTTCACAGTAATTTCAGATACAGAGACGATTCTCTGACAACCGAAAATACTTGTCTAGCGCCCTCTTTAGTTCACATGCTATTTTGTACTACAGTACTAAGATCTTTGTATTATTTTCCTATTAAAATTGTATTGGACATTGGTATGGT